TTCCTATCACGTCTCATTGAAATGTGCTTGAAATGAGAGGGTAATGGATTCTGGCTAGAATTGTTGTTCTGCCATCCTTAAATACCAGCATGTCTGGGCTCTGACTGGACTGCTGTCTTATGCACGGCTCTCTCCCTGCGAGACAGTGGGGGCACCCTGTTTCTGTTACCTACATACCAATTACCCTTGTGTGGAGGTGTCTTCCAGTCTTGAAAGCCCCGGCACTTTGCTTTCGAAAGTACATGGAAGCAATGTTGTACGTCTGGGTCAACTGACATTGCCTTGGCTTGTTTCCAGTTCTGCCCAGAATATTACCGACTGCTACAGCCTTACGTTCTGCACAGCAGCTCCGTCTGGCTAATGTTTATGTCTCCTACGGCATTTGCCTTCTCCAGAGGAGTGTCGCTAATGAGATGCTGTCAGCCGTAGAGATGTTGGGGATCTTTATGGTACCAACAGATAAATCAGGAGACTACTTGAGCAGCTGACCAAATGTGCTCAGAGGAGGTGCTCTTTTCTCAGTGGCGATTAGTCAGAGTGCAGCAAAATTTGGCAGGCCCCTCTCTCTCTCTCTCTCTCTCTCTCTCTCTCTCTCTCTCTCTCTCTCACTCTCACTCTCTCTCTCACTCTCACACATACTTCCTTCATTTTGTAGTTAGGATAAACGCTGCCAATAGTTGATGTTTTCCCTCCTGGAGTCACAGCCAGCCAACAATACTGTGGAACCTGAGACCGAAAAAATAGGTGGCACCCCACCACCACTACATGTACACACATAGACACAAAAATATGCACACCTGTTTCCACAAAAACTGGTGCAATCCACAAATCCCTCTGTGACAAGGGGCACCATTGAGACCCAGTGTGGGTAGAGCAGTGATGGCGAACCTTTTAGAGACCAAGTGCCCAAACCTCGACCCAAAACCCACTTATTTATCGCAAAGTGCCAACACGGCAATTTAACCTGAATACTGAGGTTTTACTTTAGAAAAAACAACTCATACATTAACATAAGATGATCCAAACAAAATAAGGAAAGCAATCCCAAATGCTTTCATTTACTTAAAATTATTTGGCAGAGAATTCCACACTTTAATGACGGTCTAGGCCTGGCTGGGGCGATGGCATGCGTGCCCACAGAGAGGGCTCTGAGTGCCACCTCTGGCCCCTGTGCCATAGGTTCGCCACCACTGTGGTAGACTGTTGGACACATCTGGGAAGGGGTTGCCAACCTCCAGGTGGGGCCTGGAGAACTGGGATTATAACTTATCTCCAAACTACAGAGATCAGTTCCCTTGGAGAAAATGGCTGCTTTGGAGGCTGGAATCTGTAACTTTGCACCTTATCAAGGTCCCTCGCCTCTTCAAACCCCACCATCCCAACTCCACCTGCGAATCTCCAGGAATTTTCCAACTCAGCACTGGCAACCGTAATCTGGGAGACCGAAGTTCAGATCCTCACTCTGCCAAGGAAGCTTGCTTGGGCCAGTCATGCACTCCCAGTTTAACCTATCTCACAGGGTTGTTATGAGTATAAAATGAAGGCGGTAATAATAGTGTAAACCGCTTTGTGTCCCTATTTATTTATTATTTATGTATTCAATTTATACCCCACCCTCCCTGCCAAAGCAGGCTCAGGGCGTCTATCTCCCTGTTGGGGACATACGGAGCGAATAAATTAAGTAAATAAATAAAATAAAGTCATTTGCTTCTGTGGCACCCTTTCTCCAGCAACTTATCAGTAAACATTTTTAATCCAAAATCATGATAGCTAGAGAACTGTAGTGTATTCAATAGCTACCATTGAATGCCTATGTCTTGTGAATCATCTCATTGGAAAGCTATGTTAAGCTTCGTCCTGGGCTAGGATGCAAATACACCCAATCGTATTGCTAGCCCAGGAAGCACTTAGCCAATCACCTTACAGCAAGCTCCCTGAGCGGGAACATCTGTGATTGGTCCTTATGGCTTCAACCTTATTGGTTGTTATGTGTACAGTGGGCGTGGCTATATTAGCCGGGAATGTTTAAAAGCAGGACAGCTGCAATGTTAAAGCTGTTCTGGCTATCAGATGTTGATCCGTGTTGGAGAAGTGTTTGAGTTGAAGAATAAAGTTGTGTTCTTGCTGAAATCACTCTCCGACTATTTGTTAAGCACGCGACTTAACAAGAACCATGAGATCAGACTAGGGTTGCCAAGTGGCACTCACCTCCTCCGCGGGGGACTCCTGGCCGGCTCCTGGTGCGCGTCTGCGTGCTTTGCGTGTGCGCGCCGCATGCACGTCACTAGAGTTTTCCCTTGTATGGCCGTGGCCCCGCCCCCAGCGTGCCCGGCGTCATAGCGTCACTTCCTGGTGACGCGCATGCCG